AATTTTGTGTTTTTTCTCACCCTTTCTATCGTGAGTAATAATTTCAGCGACTCTAGGCCTTAATAACTTGAAACAAAAGGAGCACATAGCTTACCCCTTCCAAAATTTGTACAAATGGACCTAAAAGAACAGAAAGGGTTACTTGGAACAAATGTTACGTGACAAATTTGGACTTTCCACGGATTGAAAAACGGATTTAGGAAGTCATGATCAAAACGGATTTAGTGAGTATCAGTGGGTCAGTCTTTCTTCACAGCCCAAACATTGCATCTTCACCAAAGAATTCAATACTTTCAGTTCTTTGTTCTAATTGATTTCGTGTCCTTGATTATTTCTAGATTATTCTACATTCAAGAAGGAATCATATGATGATGGAGGCAAACTAAAAGGTACAAGCTAGAGATAATTCTAAAACTACTGATGCGCGTAAGCCTAAATCTACGCGAATTTGTTTAAGAAGCTCCATATTTAAAATCAACGTAGATAAGGTGCATCTTTTCATCGAAATTTCAGGAACAGCTACAAGTGAAGGTACCGTAAGTGATAAAGGAGTGGATTTTACAGCTTCTTCGTCAATTGAAAACATGAATACTCACAAAAATATGATAATGTTGATGACAATCATTCAAACCCATTATTTTTTGTTTTAGAGTCGGAGAAAACTCAAGTTTCATCGGCATCTGGAAAAAAAGAAGACTTAGAGATCGGCAGCCCCACAGGTACATAGATAAGCTGTAAATAGTAAAGAGGTATATTGTAATCATTAATCTGGTTTATTATTTAAACTTTGGTTTGAAATGAATTAACAGGCAGCTGCATCTAATACAGGGATCTAATACTTGAGAACTTTGCAGATTAGGCAGGTTTCTAGCTTGAAATTTATTATCATCGTTGAAAGCAGATTTCCAAAGCACAACTCAATGTGTTTGAATTCTTATTCATTTTAGCTACTTTGAAAGGGAAGGACTCAGCAAACCAAGAGAAGGGGGATTCAAATGAGGAGCTTTTATCAGGTTAGAGCAATAAAACAGCAAATAAATCGCTTTTCTCTAAGACCTTTGGAAATTAATCGAACACAAACAACTGAGTCACTACGGCTCAAAGTTTTGTTTGCCTAAAGTGTAGTATCCTTCTTTACCATTTCAAGGTCAATTTGGATTCAAGAAGGAGTCAGATGTGGATGATGACAAATCAAAAGGTACAAGTAATTAGTGCAAACTCAGAATGTGTGTAAGCTTAGGCGTCAATTAAACAATGGGAAACACACTGCAAAGCGAGTCAACTTTTCGAAGATTTAAAATGGAGTGAATAACTTTCTGTGGGTCAAGATTTAGGATAGAAATAAACATCTGAAGAAATTAATTTGACAGCCTAAATCTGCACAATAACCATGAGTGTTAATTCTTTCACTTCCCTAACTGATTACGGTATTAGGTACTTTTTCTCTTGACGTAGGTCTACATAATAGCCGTAGGTTTTAATTTTTTTACTTTCTAAACTGATTTCGGTATTAGATATTTTCACTTCAGGAGGAAAAACCTTGAATATATTAGGTGATAAAGAGACTCAGCTCAAGAGGGAATTACAGAACACCCAATATGCGGCAAAAAAAAAAAGAAAAACAGACAGTAAAAGTATTTTCTTTGTCATTTCTTTAACAGACAAAAGTAAGGCTACTTCCGGTCACAAAAACCTGGATTCAAGCAATACGTCTGTTGAAGGTAAATAAGTCAGAAAACTCGGTGAAATTATTCAATCACGCTATTACAAGTTCAGTCCATGAACTGCCTCTTTGACGAGTTGATAACTCAGAAAAGAGTGAAAATTATTTCGTTGTTATTTTTATTATAGAGAAAAGTGAAGCTACTTCTGTTGAGAAAGAACTGAACATGAAGGATGCTCCCTTAGCAGGTAAGCGAGGAAGTGAGGTGAAATCAGAGCCTTTAAAGTATTGAGCCTAGTGGAGTTTAGTCGGCCGGATTTATTTCTATTCTCTTTTTTCACTAGGAGAGCAATTTAAAGCAACATTACGAAAACCATAGGCAAAAAAAAAATCCCCAATTATTCTTGATCTGGCATATTAGGTGCAAAGTTTTATGCAAATTCGAGTGGTTATCTTTTAGCAATTTATTATCCTTCATCAATTTCGGGTAATTTCCAAAGCACAACCCAATTCTATCTTTTAGGTACGTTGCAGGATAAAATTACAGCAATGCAAGAAAAACTGGATTTGGATGATGGACCTTCCTCTGGTGAGAGAAAAAAAAAACCGCAAAAAAAGATGATTGTATTCTAAATTTATAGCCACTGAGTACAACGAGCGCTATAAAAACAAACCCACACTGACAAACTCAACACTGACAGTGTTCTTTGCTCAAAGTGAATTTGTGTTATTTGCTGTTTTAAGATCATTTTGCATCCAAGAAGGAATCAGATGATGATGAAAGTGAACCAAAAGGTACAAGAAATCATTGATAAAGTAATCATTGTAAGTCTAAATCTACACGAATCATACACAAACAAGTGACGCTCCGCGAAGTTTCTGTTTTAAACCAACGCAAATGAACTTAAAACGGAAATAACTCAATTTTTTTCGCAACTACTAGCGAAGCTTTTGAGGTCTGGTTATATTAAACAATTTTGTGCTTTTTCTCAACCTTTCTATCGTGAGTAATAGTTTCAGCGACTCTAGGCCTTGGTAACTTGAAACATAAGGAGCACATAGCTTACCCCTTCCAATAATGTACAAAAGGACCTAAAAGAACAGAAAGGGTTACTTAGAACAAATGTTACGAGACAAATTTGGACTTTCCACGGATTGAAAACGGATTTAGTGAGTATCAGTGGGTCAGTCTTTCTTCACTGTCCAAACATTGCATCTTCACCGAACAATTCAATACTTTCAGCTCTTTGTTCTCATTGATTTTTTGTTGATTATTTCTAGATTATTCTACATCCAAGAAGGAATCATATGATGATGGAAGCAAACCAAAAGGTACAAGCTAGAGATAATTCAAAAACTACTAATGCGTGTAAGCCTAAATCTACGCGAAATTGTTTAAGAAGCTCCATATTTAAAATCAACTTAGATAAGGTACATCTTTTCATCGAAATTTCAGGAACAGCTAAAAGTGAAGGTACCGTAAGTGATAAAGGAGTGGATTTTACAGCTTCTTCGTCAGTTACAGGTAAGTAGGACACTGAACCTAGAAAAAT